GTCTCATTTTATTATAATTGTGGGGAGGCAGAAAAATATGGAATAGAAATTAAACCGACAACCAGCATGAGGTAGATGGCACCTGAGAATGACAAAGGTGCAACCTCTTGAATGAATCTGTCATCCGACTGGTTTATTGAAAAGTGAGATTGGTCTTGATAATGAAAGTATTTCAGAATTGAACAATTTCCCTGCCAAAATATTACCAAAAACACCATAAAAGAAAGTGATCAAAATTCTGTTTGAGACTGATGCGAGTGAGAAACTAAACAATTTAAAGAACATGATATTTACTGCAAAATCCAAGAAAGTGTTGCTTGTTAATAGAGGCTTGGCACTGAAAGCTCTGGTTATTAAGGACAGGAAGAACTCTACAATAAAAGTTGAAGTAAACTGTGAGGAGTGCCTAAAGCAGAAGAGATTTTAGCCATTTGCATGAAGCTCAAGCTTCCTACTTGCATGCGTGCCTCCCCCTACCCCTGGAAGCACACACTATAAAAAGAGATACAAATTTCTTAGTAGCATACTCAATTGAACTTGTCATTTTCTCCCTAACTACGGATCCCATACTACCCCCAATAAACTGAAAATCCATAACCCAAGTGCTACAGGAATACCGTTTGGTTGACTTACGCCTGTTTGAATAGCCTCAGTTAATCCAATCATTTTTTGATAAGAATCAATACGATCTTTATAAGGCCCGCCCTCCAAATGAAATTCAATTGTCTCCAGAGAGACCATGTCTTCATCCATAGGATGTCTAAAAGGAATTGCAATGAATCATTTCAAGACCTTTACACACCCATGCAGTCGGCCCTGGGGGAGGGCGCTTTGGCCAATTGGCTGTATTCAGTTCAATCACAGTATAACCAAGTGACTCTCCCCACCACTCATGAGTAGAAAATGTCACCCAACCATTACTAGTACATAACCATCATATACCAACAATTAATGAGCTTTTGCTTGACGTAAGCAAGCCACTATTTTCATCTCGACAAATTTCAGAACTCATGTATTCTAGTCCAAAATGAGCTTGAAACTGAATGTATATTGTTAAACATTTGATGCTTTCCAAAGAAGTTGCGTTTCTCTTAAAACTACAACTTTGCCCTATTTTGTCTATAACCTACTTATCAACATGCTGACCAAGTTAAATGATTATGTAATGCAAAATTGAGGAAGTAATTACTTTCCAGGAAAAGGGAATGATGAAATAGACTATTTTGGTAGCCAAACCAAAAGACACCCCTGATACATTGAAATAATCTTCAAAGGCATGTAAGTAATTGAATAGAAACTGATTGAGACTACTCATCAACCAATCTCCTATGCTAGAACGATACTCCTTGCCTATCACTTTTATTGGTAACAATGAGGCTCCCAGCTCAATGGAAATTGCCTATGAATCCCATATATTACATTGCTTAAGAGTGTCAAACAAGATACCTATCATACTTGTCGTATAGTCCATTGACATTCTCCAAAGTTGAGTCCAACAAATAAGATTTGACGATGGTACCAAAAAAAGGAATTTCTATACCATACCGAAATTTACTATATTTGTGGGTTTACTATTGTTGCGGGTATTTTTACCACTGTTGTGGTACCAAAAAAAAGTGATAAAAATAGTTACCACCAGTGTTTTGAAAAGCTCGCCTAGGTGAGAAGCGAGGCGAGGCGAGCTTATCTCACTTGGAGGACCCCAGGCGAAGCGAACGTGAGCGAAGCGAGAAAAAGCGAAAAAGCGAACGCTTTATTATAAGAGGTGATTCTGCTTCCCTTTTTTTTTTTCTTCTGATTACAGGTTAGTAGTCTCTTTTATTTTTTAATCACTAATGACTTTTTTTTAAGACTATCACTGGTCTATTTTTTTTTTCTAATAAGCAATATTTCTAACAAAACACATTCCTTTTTTTTTCTTGTGTTGCTGAATTCATTTAGAATATTTGTGGGATGTGGGAGTCAGGCGACTGCATGACAAAATTATGATAAAGAAAGGAAGCAGGAGTATCAGGAATGGGGGTAAATAATAGAGTCTTCTACAAAGAAATGTCTCTGATATGTCTTGGTTATACTTTTCCCTTTTCTTATATATATACAAATGGTACCAAAAAGTGGTCTATGCTTATACCATGTTTAATTATTTTAGTACATGTGAAATGTGCCTCTGTTCTGCTTTTTTTATTCAGTACATAATTATATATGAAATTGTTTACAATTGATTCTGCTCCTGTCATGATCATTGTGCTTCTGGTTTTTTTTTTTTAGCTCATTCTTCTTCTATTTTTTTTTGTTGATTCTGTTGCTGCTTCAGTTTTGTTGTCCTGTGTTGCTTCTATTTTTTTTATCCTCATTCTGCTTCTTTTTTTTTTGTTGTTGATTCTGCTGCTGTTCTGATTCTGCTTCTTTTGTTGTCCTACCCTATCAATATGAAAATGTATACAATTGTTAGTATTTGTTTGAATTTAAATGTTTAAGTTATGACTGTTATTAAATTTGAAATATTATTAGTGTTTGTTTTAATTTAAATGTTTATGGTTTTACTTGCATTTAAATATTTAGTATATATAAAATTAGAACTTAGATTGTTTAGAAGTAATTAAACTAAAATATATATATTTTTTAACTGTTCGCTTTGTTTCGATAAAGCGTGTCACTTCGCTTTTCGCTTTTCGCTTCTCGCCTAGACGTTAGGAGCTTTGGTTGCTTTGGTTCGCTTTACGCCTTAAATAATACTGGTTACCACAACAGAGATAAAAAGACCCATAAATATGATAAATCAACCACAAAAGTAATAATTTTTGTCCTAAAGAAAAATTGTGAAAATAGTTGTCACAACTGTGATAAAAATATTCATAACAGTGGTAAAAATACCCACAAATGTGCTAAACCACCCATAAAAATGGTAAATTTTTGAGTTGTAAAATGACCTACAAAAATTGTAAAAAAACACCATTTGAAGTAATAAATTTTGGAGATATAATACTAAAATTTTTTTGTCGATACCATATTCAAGTCCCCTACTAATAACTCCATAGAGAGACAATCCTACTTGCTTTTTCTCATCAACTCCTAATTGAACCCAAACAACACCTACAAGTCCACCATATCTATTCTTGGAAAAATAAAAGTCTTGCCTACCGGTCAAAGCTGTCGCTTTTCTTCTCCATATATGATTTTAAACAGTAATTAATCAGTAAAAGATTGATGATGAGCAAGATTGGCGGAGAACAACTGACTGATTGCAATAAATATTTTCATTTATAACTAATTGTTGTCATCTCACTTCCTTTTGATACATTGACCACCCATCCCAGCAAGCAATTTAAATAAAGGTTAAAAAAAATTAACATCAAATTGCAAAATTTGTATCTCCTATATATACCATTTGTTCACTTGTAATAAACATTTTACAATAATATTTGGAAAGTTTGCCCCCCATATATAGATTAAAATTTCATTTTTGTGCATTGTTTCGATCACCTAGGAAACAAAAACGTTTTGACACGTTTCGACTTGTTTCAAAAATAGAAAGTAAACGAATAAAAAATTTAAGAATTGTTTTACCAAAACATTAGTCGAAATATATCAAAACAACTTCAAACATCTCAAAACATTCTGAAACATCTCGAAGTATTAGAATTTCGATTACATCACTATTCATTTCAGTCTACTTAAAAACAGAAACATTTTAGTTGTTTCAACCATTAAAAAAAAATTTTAACTCCAGCCCACATAGCAAGACTAAGCACTTCCTCCCCCCCCCCCCCCCCTCCTAAAAAAAAAAAGAAAAAAACAAAGAGGGGGGTGGTGGTCAGCCAATGGCAGCTTGATATGAGTCTCATAAAGCATTATGTTAATACACATCATTTTGTCTGTCCTAGACCTTCTTGCTTACTTTCCAAAGTTACGAATGCCATATTTCTGAACAAAAATGGCTTCATGATAAATTTAGTACAGTAAGAAAGTACCAACGGAAAGGACAAGTTTCAATTTTAGGCAACTGGAGGAAAAAAAAAAGCAACAGTAAGTTATGAACAAATTAAAAAGTTATGTAAAAGGTTGTATCATTCGGCAAGTTGCATGTGTTTTGAAGCGTTTGGGACCTTTGGGTGGTTCAAACCAGGGTTTTGAAAAATGCCTATTACGTAACGTAACAGTATCGGAGGCCGGCGATACCGTTACACCCCGATTTAACGGCCAGAAAAAAATTCACACCCGTAATGGGCGTTACGATGGCATAACGGGCGTTATATTCCGTTATTCGGCCGTAACGGCCGTTACACATCAACAGCCATAAATTTTTTACTAGAAAACCATAAAATCAAATAACAAATGAAAGGAGAAGAATAGACATGTGTAAATTTGGTCCCTCTTCAACGACATCAACTTTTAAACCATTGCTTGGCTACTTTGAGTGGAGCTTCAATTCTTGCATAGATTAGCCGATGGTGGAAGAGAGAAATGCCTCTTCTATTTAAGACAACAGCTATTTGGGGGCAGATGAACAGCGGAGAAAAGTGGAGGAAAAGAGATAAGTTTTAGGGTTTAGATAATGGTTATGAAAAGACTAAGTTGCCCTTGTTGTGAGACATTCTCTAAAGTGATAGCCAGCCCAAATGTAAAAAATGGGTCTAGCTTGACCCAATGGAATTAACAGTCAGAATTTTTATTTTGTATTTTGGTAATATTTTTCCATCTTTTAGGAATGTACATCCATAATTAAAAAGAAGATTCTGCATCTCAATTGGCTATGATTTCTAAATTTTTTCAAAAAAATTTAAGTGGATTGCCTTTAATTAAAAGTCATGTAAAAACTCTTATCATGTAATTACTAAATGATAAATTTATATAACATTGTTTATGATACAATAAAATGTATAAAGTATCACAGAAGGTCTATATTTGCAAAAGCTAAGTTAAAAATGCATAAATTTATTTTTTTAGAGAGGTGTGAATGAAAACAAAAAATTCACGATCTCGGTTTCCGTTACTGTAATGTAACGCCCGTTTCATCTCGCGTCCGTTACACCGTTACCGTTACCGTTACGGCGGCCGTTACCGTTATTCAGAACCTGGTTCAAACATTGGGCTGCCTTGACAGAAACTATATGCCAAACATGAATTTGTAAGGTTTTACTGCTACAAGTGGACACAAAAATGAGTATCGAGGAAAACATTGCAGGGCAATAAAATACTACAAAAGTAAATTTGAACTTACAGATGGTATAGCTACTATTTTACCGGCTGAAACAGAAAGAGCTGTTATTCCCCATCCATTGAATTGATTTTCCCGAGAATTAACTCTGTATGAGCTGAGAAAGTCACGTAACCCAGCTTGAAATAGGCTCAAGGCATCTTCTTGGATTTTGGCCGTCCCATACCTTAAGGGACATGACTTGGATGGAAATTTTTTGTGTGAATCTGAGTCCTTGGACTACAGAAGAACACATGATCAACACGAATGTCGTTTGCTAAACACATGTATACAGATCTTGGCAAAAACAGTGTGCTTTATGAAAGAAAGCTATCAAGAATACAAAATTACTACAGACCAAGCAAAAGAAAAAACCTTCATGTAAGCTCTAGCATGTAAAGTAAGTGTATGTGCAATACGCTTATCCTGTTCCAAGTCAGAGTGAAGGCGTTCACTCAGTTCTTCACAAAGTTCATTGAGCCAGTGTTCAACCTGGAGGAAGAGCAGCAAAACCAGCAGAAAGTGAAGAATTATAATATAAGCTTGATCCCACTAAAATATTATGTTGGAATATGTTTGTGTTAGGTTTACTCATGTTGACTGAATTCCCAGAGTCAAATGGAAACAAATCTTAGCTAAGTCCAAGGGTAATGATGCTTACAAGGTAGAAGACCAAAGCCAAATGCGAAGAAGGGATTGTAGCTATATTGCTACATTCAGAGTTCTATCCTTGGTTTTCATCAGTTTAGGTGAGTTAAGTCCTAGAGACCTAGTGACCTTTAGTTGGTTTTAACTTAGTTTAAAATTGGATTTAGAAGTAAAATTTGTAAAATCCAACATGACTTTTGGTTCTAAACTTAGAAAAATGTTTTTGAACTTGAAGGATGTTGTCAATATACTTTTGAAGTCATGGCTATGGAGCCTTGTTGAGTAACACCCCTTGCTACTCAAAGGTTGGACTGAAATCTGATTTCGAAGGCAAGAACCTGGAGACACTGCCCTCTAAGCACTCGAGTGGTCCCTTGAAAATTAGAGTAAGCAGAATTTCAACCAGAAACCACTGCTCTCTCAACGCTCACCCAGTACTCAGGCCGTCAAGTGGGGTCAACAAGGCATGTTTCATCCAGAGACCAGCGCTCGCTCAGGGCTCAAGCAGTTTGTCAGGATTTTGTAGATTTTGATTTCCTATTTTGATTCTAATTTCACTGCTATATATTTGGAAAGGCTTTGAACGTGTGTTAGGGCTTCAGAGCAGTAAAGAGAAGAGAGAACGTCACCATGCATTCCTTAGGCAAAACTACTAGCAAATCCAGGAATTGCTCACTGATTTTTCAAAACCTAGATCATGTTCTTTGAGAGAAGTACTTAGTAGGTATTCCCAAACCTTAAGAGAGAATTGATTTGCTTTGGTGGATCCCACGAAAAGTTTGAGGGGGACATTCCTTGAATGGCGCAAGGCAGATTATGGATTCAATTCGTTGTTCTTTTGTAAAGCATTCAAAGTTTGTTGTGGATTCAAGAGTGGGTTTCAACACAAGAATAACCAAAGGTATTTGACTGAGGTATAATTCTTTAACTGAGGTATAATTCTTTATTATCTTGTAACGAACTTGGAGCTTTAGTGGATTGGATGATTGGGCTAGGTTTCGTGGCTTTTTCCTGGTTGGGTTTTCCACATAAAAATTGCTTGCGTTGCAGTTGATTTTTTACTTCACTAATGATTGCTTGTTAAAATCTTGCACTCACACTCTACTAGTTGAATAAGTCTTAGATTTTGGATTGCTAGGTGATTCTACAATGACTGCACAAGAACTATTCACCTCCCTCTAGGTCAATTTAAGTTTAGCTGCATAGGGGTTAGATCATTGCACTGTGAGTTTGTTATATTTATAAATTATTTCAAGGATATTTCAGTCTTTGCAATGAAGTTAGTACACATAATAGAATCCAATGGGGAAACCCCTAATTGCACTCTATTCATTCATACACTCTGTCTCCCTCCTTTTCTTTCTCTTCTTCTTCCATCATCTTAGCATAATATGTTAAGAGTTCTTATTTTCTATATTAAGTCATAAGTTAGCGAGTTAGTCAATGTAGGGTAATATTGTAATTATCCTAGACATTACTTAGTTATAAATACAAAGGTGTAGGTCAACAGAGAAGTCCTAACACAAAGATTATTCTTTATTGCCTCTCTTTCTTCTTCTTCTTTCTACATCCTTCTAACCCTAATATTATTTTTTCTATTTTAACTTGGTATTAGAGCATTAAATCGAGATCATATAACATAAAAAAAAAAAACCAGTTTTTTTTCCCTTCCCTTCTCTTCTGCACTCGTCACTGTTGCTACTGTCACACCCAGCAACTGACATCATGCTGACATCGACAACTATCGACCAGCGAGCAAGCCCACTTGATTGACTACTCCTGAGGAGAATTGTGGTGATTTTTGCGAAATTTTTTGGAGCTGTTTGAGATGGGTTCCTATTTTCAACTATTTTTCGGAAAATCGGTAATATTTTCCAGATCTGGTTGTTTTGGGCTGTAATCTCTGGTTTGTTGCTTCCATTCGCCTCCCTAGGTGCCAACTGGATCTTCTTGAACTGCCCAGCTCTCTTTGGCTGCTCTTTGATGCGGTTTTTGGCTCATACAGGGGAGCCGGCCTCCCTGCTGGTGCTGGAACAGTGATGAACAATAACTGGTCTGGTGTTCTGTTACTGTTTTTGGGTCTGTTGATGAAGTTGGGTATCCCTGGTGCGACGGGCTGATTTGGGTTGTGCCTCTCTATGGTTCTGGTATATGTTGTTATCCTCCTCAGTTGTTTTGTGTTGATGTGTTCTGTTGAACTACTCCTGCTGTGCTTTGTGTGTTGATTGGGTGTTGACTCAATTCCTATTGTGGTTGTTGGTCATTGTGTGTTGCTTGGATTTGCAAAATCCTCCTTTGTTGTGTTGGTTGATTTCTTGTTTAAATTTATGGAAATTGTCACTTTCTTCTTCAGACTCTTCTAATTGATATTTGATTGATTGTATTCAATGGCAACTTTTAAGGATAAAAAGGATACATTTGCGGATGGCTCAATTTGTAGGCTTATTCAGGGGATGACCAGCTTAGACAGATTATTTCTGTGAAGCTAAATGGAACTAGTTATCATTCCTGGTCTCATGCTATTAAAGTATTCGGGCTAAAAAGAAAGTCAAGTATTTGATTGAAAGTCCTCCTCCAGAGAAATCAACAGGTGAAGAAAACTGGTGGAGAGAGAATTCCTTGGTAATGATGTGGTTGCGGCTCAATATGGACCATCAGTGGCTTCTAATGTTCAACTTTTTGAAACTGCCAAAAAAATTTGGAATTCTCTTGAGGAGACTTATTCCCAAGAACACAATGTGTCAAAGATCTATGAACTGCTTGAGCATATGTTCAATACTAAACATGATAATAAATCTCTAGCCGAGCATTATGGCACTTTGAAAAGGGTTGTGGGAGGAATTTCTGCTTTATCAGTCATTATATGCAGAGATAGAGGTACAACGACGACAGTGCGAAGAGTTTCAGGTTGCCTTATTCTTGTTTAGTTTTAATTCTGAATATGGTGTGTTCAAGGACTAGATTCTAACTAGTGAAAACTGTCAACTACTACCAATGCTTACTTTCGTCACTAGAGAGCCTCTTTGACCCGTGGGAATTCCTCACAGGATTATTTTGCATTACTCTCTGTCTAGGAAACACAGATACGGATACGTGACACGGGTACGACACGATACAGATACGACGATATGACAAAACTTGAAAAAATAGGACACGGGTACAGCTAAAATATGTCTATAATAAAATATATTTTATATTTTATTATTATTTAATGACTTAGAAATTATAATTTTCAATAATTCTTTAATATTAGTAAGCAAAATTAGAAATTTTTACCATGAAAATGATATAATATCATCTCATTATGATATGTTCATAAAATGAGCATGACCAATTAAAAGAATCATAACCACATTTAACTAGTTGGTGTGTTTTCAAGTATTTATTTTTAAAATTCTAGTATAAGTGACTCATTTTTTTTATACTCTCTTCACATAAAATAATGTATAATACTTAAAAAACACTCGTGTCTTCAAAATCAGATGAAATTCTATTAATATTTTATATTATATGAGAACTTCAAAGAATGAGGTATAGCTTAAAATTGAAAATTGTACATCTTGCTCGATGTTTAAAGTATCCGTGAAGTATCTACATATTTTGTTAATTATTAAATACGGATGATGCGTATTCGATACGTATCATCGAATATTCGACGACTATTGTATCCGATACGAGTACGTTGATCTTGACGAAGTATCCGTACTTCATAGTTCTCTGATGATGTTGGTTGTGGAGGTGATCGACCTCCAACTCAAGGTGGTGGTAGTGGTGGCAAAGGTACTAGTAGAGGAAGACATGGTGGTCGTAGTGATCATAGTAATTGATCTGAGTGGAAATATTTTTACTGTGGAGCTACCAGTTATACTGAGGATTATTGTTAGGATAAACATGGGTGACCAACTTATACTAATCAGGTTTTGATGGCTCTCCTCCACCAGTATCTCAGCCATCGACCAGTAGTCATACTACGTCTACGTTTGGCCCACATGATGACCTTACTGCACAACTTACCCAGCTCATCCAATAATTGTCTTCACATATGCCTGCTGCTGGTTTGGCTATTGTAGGTAATTTTGCACATGTGGCCGCTCAATCAACTTCACCACCTTGAATTATTGATTCAAGAATTAGGGCCTACATGTTTGGTATTTCCTCATTGTTTTCTAATTTTAGCTTTTCTAACTCTTGTATTGTGTTAGCTGATAGTTCTTTTAGACCAATATGTGAGACTAGTGATCTCCATCCTACAGAATCCATGTCTTTAACATCTGATTTATTTGTTCCTCAATTTTTCTTTAATCTGTTATTTGTGAGTTAGCTAACCAAGTCTTTAAAGTGTTCAATGACTTTTTCTCCCTCTTCTTGTATTTTTCAAGATCTCCAGTCAAAGAAGATGATTGGTTTGGCGCATGAGCATAATGGACTTTACTATTTGGATTCTAGAGCTACTGTTCCTATCTTGAGTGCTACCATTTCTCCACTCCAGCGGCATTTTCGATTGGGTCGCCCTTCACTGCAAAAGCTCCACCAAGTCGTTCCTTGTAATACCCCGTTCCAATTTGGCAAGGAAATAGTTAGAAATATTATCTTGTAAGGAATTTAAAAAAAAAAATTTTAAGAAGAATTTAAAATAGTCTAGAATAATCTAGAATATTGGAGAAATTTCTAAAAAAATATAGAATAGTCTAGAAGATTCTAGAAAGTTCAAGAATAACCTAGAATATTCTAGA